ATTAGCCTGCACACTAAATGTATCATAGCCTTTCCCCCTTTTTTCCATATAATTGGAGTGTACTCAATTATAACTGTTGTTAAATATCAATTAAGTGTAAAAAATATGTTTTCCACATAAAGTCCTGCTTTTTTCCATGTGATAAGGAATCATACGCTCTAGAAAATATAAAACTAAAGAGTTTTCTTAGTATCCTAAGCTACCTCTAAGTAGACGGAGAGTCACTATGATTGCACTACTGGGAATAAGTTTCAGAATGGCCTTCCCGGGGAGGAGAAGCATGGATCCAAGGATGTATAAGAGCAATCATCTGGAAAAGGAAAAAATCAACTTCTGGATTCTGTGAACTAATAATAAAAACTTAGAGTAAGATTCAGGAAACTAGACACAGCAAAATGTAATGTATATAAGTGAAACTAACATTTTGAGATTTGATTATTTTTTACAGCCCTTGTCTCTACTGTTAAGGAGCAGTGATTTTGTCTTCTTACTATTTGTTGACTTCTTTACTTATTAAGGGTTATGCTCATGACTATAAAATAAACTGAAAGTACGCCATTGTAAAAATTCAAAGAAAGCATGAGACAGGAAGATAGGCTAGGAGCCTGGGTGGGAGGGAGGGCAGGGTGGGAAGGATCACTAAACTCCTAAATCCGTATATATGAAATACATGGAATTTGTTCACCTTATACATATATGTGTGTGTGTGTGTGTCTCTATGTGTGTGTGTCTATATATATATGTGTGTGTGTATATATATGTATATGTGTATATGAATGTTGATATTGGAGAATTCGAGCTTTAGAAAGTATTTTGGCGATTTCCTGGCTCTACATCCTCCTGCTGAAGGCCCCTCAATTGTATTCAGCCCCCCATTATATATTTTGTTAATTTTACCAAATAATGAGAAAAATGTTTTGTGTGACCAAATTCTATATATGTAATAAATTCTACATTTGTGGCCAGTGCAATTTTTAAAATGCATATTTCTTTATTTTCATTTTATTTCAAAGGCAGAGAGAGAAAGAGAATTGTGACCAATTCTGTGTGTCATTCATTTTCTTTTTACAAGTCTAGTTTAGCACAATTTCTATAGCAATAGAGTAAAGGTAATAATTTATGAACATTATACAGTAGTTCTAAGAGCTTGAAGTTATAGTAAATATTAAATTTATAAAGCATGAGCACTACAGCAGCAACTGTAATTAATGGTCTCTGTTATGGCTGCTGCTGTTGAGAAAATCATCATCTAGGATTTTACTTCTACTTTCCAGTTGTTGGCAAATGCTGGAGTTAGAGTCTTGCTGTTTTCTCAAGTGGTCTGAGATAGCAGGCCACCATCACTTACAGGCAATTTGGTCTTCATTAGAAATTAATGAAGTGATAATTGTTCTCTGCAACCTTTTATGTGCAAAGCACGCTTGTGTTTGCATTATCTGCTTAGCAATTTATACTGCTGCATTCAAAGACTTGTGACAGCTTGCCAAAGTTAAATGAGATATCCATAATTAAAATAATATTTTACATCAAATTATTAAAGTGTATACATAATATGTTCCATTTGATGTCTAGTAAAATGCTGCTTATAGCAAAAAAAAATTTGCAAATGATTCATCAATTGAAGTACAAAGTCATCTATTCTTATAAGAAGATCTGAACTTATAAAATGTAAAGCTAATTCACTTATTTTTCAACTGGTAGTGTCATGATCTAACTTTCTGTAAGACAGCCACAGAAAGCAAATATTCTAGTGACTTTTTGCTAGTTCTATTTTTAAAATGCCACTGTAGAGCCAATGTAAATATAATACAGAAGATTTCACATAGCACCAACTTTTAATGCCAGAGTTCTTTTAAGCACCAGGTATACTCAATCTTTTTTTCTGATATTAAACTTGCACATTAATTTTGTTTTAAACATAACTTTACCACCATAGAACCCTCAGTATAAAATTTTTATATCAGAGACTCCTTATTACACAGTTTCCTTCTGTAAAGCTTCTGATATAATATATATAGAGAGTGAATGTTTGAAAATGTATGTAGTGATTATTCAAAATCAATGTGAATATTTCTTTCTGTATATTAAGATATTAATTTTTATGATTTTTCTAGGATTTTCTAAAATAGTACTAATTTGTTTCTTTTTGAGACATTGGATATGACAAGGAAGTCAAATCAATTTTGCCTCCAGAAAATGAATGATCATTCTAGATCCTGAATGATCAAGATTATTAAAATAAGTAGTACTTTTTACTTTATGTTAATGTTCATAAGTGATGTAGCGAGAATTAGAATTTTCTATACTATAGTCCTCATACTGGTAAGGTCCACAATTTGTTATGGATAATTTAAAATACTAAGATAAATTATTTATTTTTCCCTAATGAGGCTTAAAAGTCAAATGCCATGTTTCCTTACTTGTAGTTACCATCATCAATTTAATAAATTAATATTTTATCTCATTTTGCAATTAAAAGTGATTGACTGTAATTTGTATAAGTCTTTAGTAATTAGGGGAATACCTCAAAAAGTTCATGGGATGTAGAATAAAATATGTTAATTTGAGTGCAAAAAGTTTTTGGAATCCTTACATAATTTTTTCATATTATACATTTGTCATGAATTTTTAAGTACCAATACATAAATAGAAAGATCGTTAATCAGTGTTAAATTTTTGATTCAATTTAAAGTTTAAAATGTATGGTTACTGATGAAGATAGTTAAGTACTGTAATGGAGAAAGATTTAGGAATATGTTTATAAAGTTTTCACAAAGATTTATTTACAAAATTAAAACATATCCTCTAATATGAATTTCATATCATTTTACTTCCATGAATGATTTCTATGTATATTATAAGAAAATATCCCGCCTTATACAACCACAGAAGGTAAAGTTTTATGTTGTATATTATGGTGGATATGAAGTGGTTTACAAAATTTAAGGAATGGTGATGTTGTAAAAAGCATAGAGGAAAAAGCACAGTCCAGTGGGGTTCTGCCATCAGCAAAGGAATAAGGGATACGAGACCTAGGATGCATTGGAAAAAAGTAAAAGAGCTCACATTGCTAAGAAGATGGTATGTGCATAAGTGACAAGTGTCATTTCCTACTCTTGATCTCAGTTCAAGCTTTTAGGGGAAATATAATGTAGGTTGGGATCAATTTTTGTAAGAAACACAAATGTCAGACTATAGAGTTTGAAAGTTTCTGTGTATGTAATGGAGAGCCCTACACTACTTTGAATTCAAGAAGGACATAGTAAAGGTATATTTTCCTGGGAGAAGTAGGCAACATTGGACATGGTAAAAAAACAAAAACAAAAACAAAAACAAAAAACAAAACAAAACAAAACAAAACACATACAGGGATAGCAGTTGGAAATAGCTGGTGTGATACTTTTGGTTATCCTGAGTACCAAAAACAGTATGGCCCTGAGTTAAAAGCTTCTCACTCACAGAAAGTAGTACTTCAACTGTCTTATAATGACTTAAAACTTGTAAAGTGTTTTTATGGTGAGAAAAGTTCTATAAGGACAATCTTAAGTACTATAACAAAGTAAAAACAACAAAGACCAGACCAATAGTTATGTATTTCTTGTTTATGTACAAGTCCAATATGAGTAAAGGGCATTAAAAATTTAAATGTTCATCACATATGTCTTCATTTTTTCATGTGTAACTCTCAGTTTTTATTTTCAGGTGGGAAATAAGGTGTGTTTATGTATTTACTCCAAATTTCTTTAGTAGTTCCTTAATACATATCCTCAGAAATGACTGAGTATATTAAAAACTGTCATTCATTAAGATATTTGATAATGAAATGATTTTTTTGAAATTTCTTTGTTTATTTAAGAGGCAGAGTTACAGATAGAGAGAAGGGGAAACTAAGAGAGATGTCTTCCATCCTCTGGTTCTTTCCCATATGGCCACAACAGCCTAAGCTGGGCTGATTTGAAGCTGGGAGTCAGGAACTTCCTCCAGGTCTCCCACGTGAATGCAGGGGCCCCAGCATCTTCCACTGCTTTCCAATGCACATTATCAGGGAGCTGGACTGGAAGAGGAGCAGCCGGGACACAAACTGGAGTCCATATGGGATGCTGGCGCCATGGGCAGTGGCTTAATCTACTATGCCACAGCACTGGCCCCAGTGATACTATTTAGATTCATTTCATTTTGCTATACATCAGTGTTACCAGCACCTGGCCTAAAATGGGAGAAAATAATATAGGAGAATTTTAGGTGGTGGTGTTTTTCATTCTTTTAAAATATGCAGACTGGGGTCAGCACTGTGGCAGTGGGTAAAGTTGCCACCTTCAGTGCTGGCATCCCACATGGGCACCAGTTTGAGTCCTGGCTGCTCCACTTCCAATCCAGTTCTCTGCTATGGCCTGGGAAAGCAGTAGAAGATGGGACAAGTCCTTGGGCCCCTGCACCCACGTGGGAGACCTGGAGGATGCTCCTAGCTCCGGGCTTTGGATTGGCACAGCTCAAGCAGTTGCGGTCAATTGGGGAGTGAATCAGCGGATGGAAGGCTTCTCTCTTTCTCTTTCCCTCTCTCTGTGTAACTGACTTTCAAATAAATAAATAAATCTGTAAAAAATATACAAGCACACAGACACAGCATATTCAACATAACCCTATGATGGTGTCATTGGGGAACATATGATTTGAGGTTGTAAGCCTGGAATTTTGGGTTAGGCTCAATCGTTTGCTAAGTGATATTTCTCCTAAAAATCCAATAAATTGCCATGCAATTCTAATGTGATCATCAAAACTGTAAACTGCTTTTTGTCAATGAACTAAGAGAACCTTGCAGAGAATAAAAATTATAAATAGGAACTTTGTGGAATTAGTCCATGTCATATTTTTTAAAAAGTAACATTGAAGTTCCTGCTTGTTGTCTGGTTCCTGTTATAGCTATATCTTGGATTCATCATCTATCACTCTGGTTAACTCACTAATTCTGCATCTCTCTGTTTTCCCCTTTGATTATCCAGTGGGAAGAGATCAGTGGTGTTGATGAACATTACACACCCATCAGGACTTATCAGGTGTGCAATGTCATGGATCACAGTCAAAATAACTGGCTGAGGACAAACTGGGTCCCCAGGAACTCAGCTCAGAAGATTTACGTGGAGCTCAAATTCACATTACGGGACTGCAATAGCATCCCATTGGTTTTGGGAACTTGCAAGGAGACTTTCAACCTGTACTACATGGAGTCTGACGATGATCACGGGGTCAAGTTCCGGGAGCATCAGTTTACCAAGATTGACACCATTGCCGCCGATGAAAGTTTCACTCAAATGGACCTTGGGGACCGCATTCTGAAACTCAACACGGAGATTAGAGAAGTGGGTCCTGTCAACAAGAAGGGATTTTACTTGGCTTTTCAAGATGTTGGTGCTTGTGTCGCCTTGGTGTCTGTGAGAGTGTACTTCAAAAAGTGCCCATTCACAGTGAAGAATCTGGCGATGTTTCCAGACACAGTGCCCATGGACTCCCAGTCCCTGGTGGAGGTGAGGGGCTCTTGTGTCAACAATTCGAAGGAGGAAGATCCTCCCAGGATGTACTGTAGTACGGAAGGCGAATGGCTTGTACCCATAGGCAAGTGCTCCTGCAATGCTGGCTATGAAGAAGGAGGCTTCAGCTGCCAAGGTCAGAGCCTTCTCTTTTCCTTAGAGTGCTCTTTCTCCTCTGTGAGTTTATCACTGAGTGGCTGAAAGCAATGAATGTAATCTGAACTCATTTGGCAGCAAAACATCTGCAAACTGACCAGATTCTGTGCATAGACTCAATTTATCCCACTTGACGTGATGATTCATAGTTTGTTTTAGAAATAGTAAAGTTTTGATTATGCTGCGCTGGCCTCCAATCCACTAGAAGTGTGATACACACTTTATGATTTTTCTGCTATTTAGTGACTTTTGGTAGTCTAACTCTACACCATCTGAAGAAAAAAATATTCTGCCTCTTAGAGGGGATGGAGACATAGTAAGCATTCAGCTACTCTAACAGCATTAGGTATGATGGTATTTATGTTTCTGCTCACCTATCTCATAGCAATATTTACTTCATTCTTATAAAATATGGTGCTTTCTATACAGACATCTGGATATCAAATACGTGTTAGCTTACCAACCTTTAGCACCTTCAGGAAGACTCTCATAAAAATCTGTGACCAGTTTTTCAGTATTTGTTGGACAGGGTTATTAGCTTTTATAATTTCTTTAACTTGTTGACTTGCCTCCTTTCACCACTGAGGAGAATATTTGTGTCATCCCTGGAGTCGGAATGATACCACATTACAGAATCTGAACTCTGTCACCAATTGATTTTTAAGAAAAACGTCACTGCATTTGAAGTGAAGCCAATTAAAAATTATTGTTTCATAAACTGTGTATCAGATTTATCAAATTATAATCATACTTAATCCTAAAATCTCTTCTTTAGTACTACGCAAGGATTTATGCTTAAGAACACACTGATATATTATTTAAATACTAAATATGTAAATATATAGAAGAATTTAAGTATATAGTCCTTGGAATCTTCCCTTGTTGTTATATTCTGTCAAGAGCATTAAGTTTCATACTCTACTCATGACCTTTTGAAAAGTTACTGTTCACGGCCTCAATAGGCTAATCCTCTGCCTGTGGCACCGGCACACCGGGTTCTAGTCCCGGTCGGGGCGCTGGATTCTGTACCCTGTACCGGTCGCTCCTCTTCCTGTCCAGCTCTTTGCTGTGGCCCGGGAGTGCAGTGGAGGATGGCCCAAGTGCTTGGGCTCTGCACCCGCATGGGAGACCAGGATAAGCACCTGGCTCCAGGCTTCAGATCAGCATGGTGCGCTGGCCATAGCAGCCATTTTGGGGGTGAACCAATGGAAAAAGGAAGACCTTCCTGTCTGTCTCTCTCTCTCACTGTCCACTCTGCCTGTCAAAAAATTTTAAAAAAATAATAAAAAAAGTTACTGTTCACAAGTTTATGTAGAAGAAATGATTATACTGTATACACATGTATATATATAGTCCTTTTAAAAATCTGAATATAATATATTTTGCTTTAGACTACTGAAACAGGTTTTAGAAAAAATGTTTAATGAGAGCAAATGATACACTCCAGACTCACTCTTCCATGGTATTTGGATCCTTGCAAAATATCATCAGGATACTCTTACTAAAATAGTTTTAAAATTTCTAAAATTAAATCAGAGTACTAGCTACTACTTGCTTATTTTACATGAGTGGAAAAAATATAACAAATTTTTATATTCCACTTTAAATTTACTTTATCTCCAGGGACTTTGTATTATTCGGTGTATGTAAGGTTTACTTTTAATGAATGAAGGTCTACCTCAGCAAGAATTTAAAAGATGTACATTTGTCAATTATTTCGTGAATGGTGACTTTGTTCTAAACACTGTAGTAAGAATTCAAAGATATTTTTAAACATTCATTGATTAGTCACTTATTAGATGTCAGACAAAATATTTGCTGATCTGCTAAGTAATGTCCAAGAATTAACTCATTTCCCCAGAATGAAATGAGGAGATTAAAACCTTTATAGGTTAAACATCTTGACTTCAGTTCCCCTGAGAGGAAATACTGGAATGGGGACGTGGAACTAGATCGTTTGACTGCAAATGTTGTAATCTTTTTTTTTATTATTCAATTCTATTTCTCTTTATTAGTTATAAATAGGAAATGGTACTAAAGAAGCTCCTTGTCACCAGTTCTGTAACAAACACACAAGAATTCAAATTAGGACAGAGATTTATAAAAAGAAGTATCTTTGTTAAAATAATTTATTTATATAAGGTGAGCAAGTTTCCTGCGTTTCTTATTTACAGATTTAGAAGCATAGTGATACTTCCTACCCTACCCTCCCTCCTGCCGTGTTCCCACCCTCTATCTTCCTATCTTTCTTATTCTTTTAATTTTTACAGTGACATACTTTCAGTTTATTTTATAACCATAAGCTTAACCCTCCACTAAGTAAGGAATTCAACAAACAGTGAGAAGAAAAAACGATTCTCTACCAGTGGAGTCGAGGGCTGTAATCTTGACACACGGTATCTGTGATTCAGTCTAACAGTGACAGAGACAGGGGATCCCGTGAGGTCATAAATTCTCCTGGAGTTAGAGTACTGTATGTTGAAGGATAAGCAGGGCCACAAACAGTAGGCGCAGAGCAGCCAAGAATCTGTCAAAATAAACCTTGTCTATATCCATTTATTTTATACACCTTTCTAAGTTTTTAAGAAGAATTACTAGCCAAAGATAGTCTGAGTGACATCTTATAGAAACCTAAAGATGTGGCTTGTCAGGTATCTAAGATATGCAAAACAACGGTCTGCCATATTTAACTCAATTAGGTGTTTCTGACCATCTACAAATACAGCATAAAGATGTGCCAGGCACAGAGAAAACATAGATGAATAAGTCATTGTGTCTACCTTCCAGGAGCCCATAAGCTGGTAAGAATGATAGATCCATACATGAATCATTTTCATGCAAGAAAGACTAATAAATTTTCTACCACAGAGAATGTACCTTGACAGTGTAGAGGAAAGAGAGATTAATTCTGAGTTTTGCAAAATTAATCACATGATTTGTTAATTAATAATGGAAACACTTTGCCTTCACTGTTTGGGGTTTTAATTGCTATTGTATTTAGAAATCTTGGGAATAGGAAAAAAAGGAGGTAAAACTACTTTAAAAAATTACACACTCCAGAAGGTGAGATTTATAGTTCATTTATCAAATCATCTTAAAATCTCAAAATATGTAGGAGTATCATGAGTGTACTATCTTCTGAGTTTGTACTACCTGGACACCTTAATGAGGATCCAAATTTTATAATTAGGTGATTTTATGACTTTACTAATAAAACATTCTGAATTGTCTATTCTATGGTAGGCAGATAATTGGGACAGTTAAAGTTCAGTGAACTGAATGATGAAAATGTGGCAATCTGCATTTGATGGAAAAAGCATATTGATAAAATAGCTTTATATTAAAAAACATAACCATCGATTCCAGGACTATAAATAACAACAAGTTAGTTTTGTACAGTGCCAGAATCCTAAATGTGGAACTGTTTTTTCTCTTGTATTCACATAGTTCACTTTTCCTAAAATAAGAAAAAGTAACAGAAGTGTCCTTTGATCATCTATTTAAATATTCAGAACGCATTGAACTTTTAAATGTGACTACACTTACATTGAACACTAGACATAGAATGATGCACATTGTCACTGCTACGTTTGGTTTATATTTTAAAAATTGTGTGTGTGTCTGTGTGTGCTTTAAAGTGCTTTGGCCTCTGCCTTTGAAATAATATGGATTGCAAACCTGCTTACTAAACAGAGCTAAGTTAATAAATTAAAGTGGAAAATGTAAGCTTTTAGTGTTGGTGTGGAAGGAGGTGTTGGTATAGGAGGAGACGAGTGATGGGAAATTAAAGCGCTCTACAAAGAGCAGGTAGTGTTTATCCTAGCTGGTAAGATGTCTGCATACCAAATGGAGTGCCTGGGTTTGACTCTAAATTCACACTCTGGACTTTAACATCCTGCTAATGCAAATTCTGGGAGACAGCCCGGCTCAAGCAGTTGAGTTCCTGCCACCTGTGTGGGAGACCTGGATTGCATTCCTAGCTCCTGGATTTGGCCCAACCCAATACTGGTCCTTTTGGGTGTTTTGGGAGTTAACCAATGGCAGTGTGCATGTGCATGCTCTCTCTTTCTGCCCTCAAATACATTTTTAAAAATCTGCAATAGGTGCTATATGTTGCTACATTTTGTTGTTGCTGTTATGGAAGATGGGGTACAGGAAAGCTAGGAAGATAAAGGTACACCTTTTTCTTTCAATGAGTGCAGGAACAGGGAACGTTTTTTCTTCCAATGGCCATTTGAATAGTTCTAACATCATTTGTGGGCCACAAAATTATGAACTCAAAAATTATCCTGTAGGGACTGATGTTGTGCTATAGGAGATTAAGCCGCACTGTCTGCAATGCTGGCATCCCATATGGGTGCTGGTTTGAGTCCTGGCTGCTCCTCTTCTGATCCAGTTCCCTGCTAATATGCCTGCGAAAGCAATGGAAAATTGCCCAAGTTCTTGGGTCCCTGCCACCCATGTGGTAGACCTGGATGGAATTCCAGGGTCCTGGCTTTGTAAGTCTGCCTTTCAAAAGTAAATCAAAATAAATCTTAGAACAAAAAATTAGCCTGGGGGCCATCACTGTGGCATAGTGGGTAAAGCCGATGCCTGCAGTGCCAGAATCCCCTATGGGTGCCGGTTCAAGTCCTGCTGCTCCACTTCTGATCCAGCTCTCCTATTGCCTGGGAAAGCACTAGAAGATGACCCAAGTTCTTGGGCCCCTTCACCCACGTGGGAGACCCAGAAGAATCTCCTGGCTCCTGGCTTTGGGTCGTTGCAGCTCTGGCCATTGTGGTCATTTGAGGAGTGAACCAGTGGATGGAAGATCTACGTCTTTCTCTGCTTCTGCCTTCTTGTAACTCTGCCTTTCAAATAAATATTAAAGCTTTTTTTAAAAAAACGAGAGAGAGGCAAAATGCCCAACAACATTTAAAAAAATAGCTTGGTATAAATTTCTTGAATTCTGAGTCCCACCTGAGGTTGCCTTGGCAAGGC